CTATTTCTTTGCATTATTTAGGACCATAGACGAGAAAACCCTGTTTCGAAATCTGAGGGGGCCCCCGATTGAAATCGTGAAAAACTTTGCAAATTTAATCACTTATTCTGGACGTTTTAATTCAAACGGTTTAATATCTTAAAATAAAATAATGTCAGCAGATGTGGTTGTCACAAATCGAGCTAATTTAAAGTTTAAATGTCATTGGAGATAAAGTTTCTTATTTGTGTCATGGAAAATCCTGAACTTCCAGATTGGGATTTACCAAATTAAATAAACGGCTTTATTAGATTCTAGCCACATTTACAATTTTACCGGCAATCATCTAAATGATTGATTTAACTTCTGGTATCAGTAAAACCCTAAATCATTCGAAATTCAAATGTAATTGGTCGTAATTGGCATCCATGGTATTGCCAAAACAAGATGGCTGCAGGTCCAGATAGAATTCAAAATGGAGGGAGTTTGTATTAATTCACGGTATTTGTTTGTGAATTAAAGCTAATGATGGTCTGTGTAAAATTTAATTAATGTGTATACAGTATGCACAAAAGTTGAACAAAGGGTCGATCAGACTCAATCTTACTTGAGTGTGATAATTGGTTACGTAACAAAGCTTTACTGCATGGTCATGGTGTATTCTACTCTATTTTTATGCATGCTTCCAGGCCTATGCTGCTTATACTGCATGTTTACTAGTATTTTAGAAAATGTGAATAAAAATTGGTAATTTAAAATTGTATATGTTGTATTTACCCTTCAGGAACCCCAAAATGCATTTTATTAGTGATGTATTTTCTAAACTACCGAGAATGGTACATCCTTCCAAGCATGTATTAGTACCATAAATTAAAGTATAAATGTCATTGGTCATTTCAAAATATATGGTACATTGTCATCATAGCCAGTCAATTATACTTTACATGGCAAATGTAAATTTTGCCTAATCACCGGTAAATTATATCAATTCATTCAACTCACTTAATCATCAATTCACACATAGCTAGGCAAAGTGTGTCAGATTCCAGCCAATCCGAACAGAGTATTTTTACATGACAGCAGTGCATGAAATAATCAACAATAACGCATTTGTTGTGTATAGGTCACCAGTATGATATTCACCCGGTCCTGGGGTAACACCTACTGGTGCACTGATATGCTGCATGGTGAAATGTGTCTATAGGCAAAGGCAACGCAAGACAAAATATTTTGGAAAATATTCAATCAGACATTCTTTTTTCAGACCCAATGTCATATTTGGATAAGATTTACAATTCCTGTGATCGTGCCACATATAACGCCACGCGATTACGTGTTGATTTTAAACTGAATTTGCAATGAAAACGATCGAAGATCTTTTTTTTTTTTTTTTTTTTTTTTTTTTTTTTTTTCGAAGATCTGGTACTTTCATTTCTCACATGTTTGATAGCGGGTCATTAACTCTTAGCCTATTATCCATGTCTTATTTTTCACAAAAAAAACTCAGAGGAACCCCGCAGAATTCCAGCAGAATTGGCTTTTTTCTTTGCAGAATTCACTAATTTCACTTGCAGAATTCAGTATTTTAACTCACGGAAAACTGGGGGGAGTGCCCTAGGCCCGGGAGGTTCACTGTATACAAAATTCAGCGGGTTCCTAGGCTGAACCCTCAAATATGATCAATATGTTCCCATACCAATCTGTTAAATTTCAATGTGTTCCCATACTGACAAAAATAATGCCCCAAAGCACACCAAATGTCCAAATATAAGACCATTGCCATACCACATGTCCAGATGTAAGACTAAGGCCATTTAAAATGTCTAAAGCCCCGAGAAGAAGGCAGATCTTTGAGGAAAACGATCCAAAACAACCTCAAACTAGAAAACTGCAACTCCGCGAAGTAGCAAATCCCAACGAACAATATATCAATTACCAAATTAATTCCAATCAGTCATAGAATTGAAAAATTTAGATTTTATGATTGCGAATTCCTGAAAGGCAGCCATTTTGAATTTTCTGAGGTACAAATCTGAAAAATAATACCATAATTGTGATCTACTCTAAAATTCCTTCAATTTGAGTATAATATAGGCATACTTTGAAGGGATCGCAAAATTATTGCGAAATCCAACATTAGGCGGCCATTTTGAATTTCACGAGGTCTGAATCTGAAAAAAGATACAATCAACTCTAAATTGCCTTTCATTTGAGTATAATAAAGCTATACTTCAGAAATACCTCAAAATTAACGAATATTTCTGTTTTCCTGACCCCCCATACACGGCCCCAGGGGGTCAGCATGAAAAACAAGGAATATATGTGAAATAAATAGATGTTGTGAATATACTACCAAAATTTCAAACAAAAATATTTATTACTTTGGTTTCGAATGAAAAATTCATGATTTTTACGAAAAAGTCTAGTCATTTTTAAAGCGGCGGCCATCATGGAAAATTTTTTTTTGGGTAAAACTATTCACCAATATACATCGTTCCACCAAATATGAAGAAAATCCGTCAACTGGTATTTGAGTTATCTTCCGGACGGACGGACGGACGGACTGACAGACGGAGGGCTTCACTATATCCCTACAGAACTTCGTTCGTTGGGATAATTAAGGATATGTGTAACTACTAGACCAATGCCATACACAAGTGAGAGGCAATGTATTTTCCATGACCATTCTCATACCAGGAGTGGAAAAATCTGACCATTGCCATACCTCAAATCATAATTTAGGGGGCATTCTCATTCCAGATCCTAAAAATTGGGTCCATTGCCATACCAAATGTCAAAAAAGGGACCCCACATGAGCCGAGGATCCCCCCCGTCAAGGTTTATATACAGTGAACACCCCAGGCTAGGAGCCCTGGCCCTGTGTCTAGTATTCAGTCAGTGAAACCCCTGCTCTAGCTAACCATCCCATTAAAAAAAATCAGGGTGATCAACTTTGGCCAAAAATCACTTGAACTGAGTTCTAAATTGTTGAAAAACTGCATGATTTTGAATGAATTTTTGTCCAGGCCGGTCTGAGGGGGGGTGATGCACACGTGGTTCACGTCATGTCTGGCTTTTGAATGGTTTATCTGTAAAGTGCAACATCTACGTTATTTTGAACAAACAGATTGCCTTACAAAGGTAAAATATATAAAAGATAGTCCACTAGTATAGACAACTAGGCCTACATATACTCACTTTTCTGCTTGACAATTCCCGCTTCCTTCACTTCCGTTAATTTCAACCGTGACACGCCACATAAAGTTTTCCTTTACAGAAGACTTTTAAAAAATTTCAGACTTATCTAAAAATCTGAACTGACTTATGAATTTCCAAAATCAGTTTTGCAAAAAAAAATTGCAAAAATATTTCTAAAAAATTATTATAATTTCTATAAATCATTTTACATTTACATATTTGATTTTTGAAATCCTAAAATAGAGTCTAAAGTTTTAAGGATTTTCTAAAAGTGTTTTTTTATATATATTTTGAAATTAAAAAATTAAATTTTCAAATTACAAAAGTTACTTCAATTTTTATTAAAGTTTTTGAATTTTAAATAAGTGTTTTGCGAGTTTTCAAAAGTTATTTATGATTTTAAAAAACTATTTACATTTTTATTTAAGTTTTTAAATTTTCAATAAGTATTATGTGAGTTTTTATAAGTTAATTATGATTTTAAAAAACTATTTTTATTTTTATTAAAGTTTTTAAATTTTCAATAAGTATTTTGTGAGTTTTTAAAAGTTAATTATGATTTTCAAAAATAGAAATGAAAAAATGTCCCTTTTAAAGCTTCGTACAAAGGAGTTTGTTAAGGAGCGGTATATCTTAACGTACTTTTATCATCCCGAACTCAAACATTTCGAATACTTATTTCGAGAACGCTTTGTTGAGAATGGATTCGAGATGTACTCAAAATTAATACGTTAAAATGTGTATTATCATCTTAATAACCACCTCACAAATTATTTTGAAAATCAAAGATGTACGATTTTGAGATTTTTATTTTCGAATGTTGACTTACTTACTTGACTTGACTGGATTGTCGGAGAACTTAATACATTAGTGTGCAACGACATCTATAAAATATCATATTTATATGATTATCGGAGAACTTAATACATTAGTGTGCAACGACATCTATAAAATATCATATTTATATGATTATCTGAGAACTTAATACATTAGTGTGCAACGACATCTATAAAATATCATATTTATATTAGTGTGCAACGACATCTATAAAATATCATACTTATATGATTGTCGGAGAACTTAATACATTAGTGTGCAACAACTTCCATAAAATTCCATATTTATATGTTTTTCGGAGAACTTAATACATTAGTGTGCAACAATATCTATAATATATCATATTTATATGACTGTCGGAGAACTTTATACATTAGTGTGCAACGCCATCTATAAATATAACATTTTTTTAAATACTAGTATGATTCATTTTTCGTCGAGTAACGAGAAATTCAAAGTAAAGTCGACTCGAAACTAATATTATGCTGTGGGGCAATTTCATATTGACAGCTCCATTTCTTTCGTCTTAGTTCGTTTTATTGCATTGAAAAGTTAGTTTCGATTTGGATTGTGAAAATAGCATAGTCGCTGTTGAAACGCCATGTAAATACCAATCAATTAGATTATAGAAATTGCATGCTATTCCTTTATCCCCTATCCGCCATTGTTGTTTTTACGACGTAATTAGCGTCATTTCTCCATTAAAAGGATTGTTTTGATGATATTCAATAAAATAGTTTGTACAACTTTTAGCTATAGAATACCATACTGATTATAATCACCTGTTAAACAAACTTGTTAATCAATCTGATAGATTATATGCATCTGTTTTTCAAAGTTTATTGTTACATTTAATGATGTGTAATGCCATTATCATTTCAATTGGACATTGTTACTTTTATTGCTATATTCTAAAATTGATGAATGATAAATGCATTAGATGGTTGTTTTGATGATACACTGTATATATTGGCAATGAATGTTATTCGAAGGTAGTGCTGGAGAAAGCCGACATCGGAAACTGGTGTATCTGAGAAATATGCGACTGGTTGTTTTTGTTGCGATTGTTGCTTTAAGGTATTTTTGACTTACAAATACTAGAAAGTTTTCTACCAGCTACCGATACTAAATCAATCCATGCACATTAAATATCATAATACATTGCACAGAATTGTTAGAATACAAATACATATCATGAATGGATGGATGGATTGTCTCACAGTTGAAAGATGGTTCGACTTGCTTAGTATTTGATTACTATCGAGACCATGTAAGTGATATTATGATGAAAGATTATGGCGTCATGGTCAAAACTATTCAGCTTAAGTAGTGACGTTCATCTTTTTATCAATTTCACGGATTAAAACTCGCTTCTTTTAAAATTATTCAAAAGCAGCAAAACATCAGATGGGGAGCTTAAAAACAAGATAATTTTAATTACATTATAAATAAGACACAACTCATCATAAAGATCTAAATCACTTCAATACGCGAGGAGTCTTTTAAAGGGTTCCGATTAGCATCCCGTATAAAAACAATATGGCGGCTCCAGGCGAATCAACTGGATCAGTCCATTTTTAAGAAATAAGGGGAGTTCTGTAAAATCCAGTTTATTGAAATTGTCTTTGAGATAAAGTAATCCGTTTATAATGATTTTGAAAACGTTATCCAAAGAGTGATTGCGTTCAAAGAATACATGTACAACAGCCAATATAAATCCTTGTATTAGAAACCGGTTTGTCTTGCTTTGTTTCATTTGTAGGATATTTCATATGCCAAGCTGTGTGCTATTACGTTATGGGGAAATTTAGATGCCAATTTTTCCTTATTATACACAAATATAAGATCCTGAAACTTCACCCATAAATGTGGAATTGATTTGTCAAAATAAAAATCACCCTTTTATAAATGTGTGACGATCTATAATATACTTATGCTATATAACAGTTAGAGGTGTTGACACAGCGACCTCAAACCTCGAATTCAGAATTTGTAGCCAGTGGGTTTTTTGATAAGATTTCTTTAAATTCATTAATGTTTTTTCCATTTATTTTCCATGTATTTACTTTTACATAAGACAGGGTAGTAAGTTTGCCTGAGACTGTCTGAGTTTCATTTAATTTGGTTCATTGGTAGTGACACAGAGTCAATACATATTTTCAATGATTGAATTAGGTGGAGCAGCGTTTTTTATAAAAAAAATTGTGCTAAAGCTGCAGTTTTGGAAATTTCTAACACTAAGTAGTGTCATCTGTCAACAGACTGTAGTTTAATCAAGTTTAATTAGTTTTTCTGCTAATATTCATTCTCATTCAAAATATTCCACCCCAGTTGCAATGCACTTCCTATATCGATCCACTCGATCCCAAAACACATGTATAAGGCATCCGTATGAGAGGTTTGAAACGATGTCGGTAAATTTCCAGAACCACAACTAGGCAGATATTTTATATATAACGCTGCTCCACCTAACTGTGTCATCAAATATATGAATTGACTCTGTGTCACTACCAATGAACCAATGTATATAAAACTCGTACAGTTTCAAGCAAACTAACCACCCTGTCTCATGTTAAAGTTTGAGCTTCCAACTCCTCTTATTATAAAATTGAGAGCCAACGGTAAGAAACTTTTTGATCGGCCCTTGTATATGTGATGGTTTTGAAATTATCATTGGATCTGATGTAGTCTGATGTCATAAATATTGGTAAATGATCTGAAATGTGTGCTAATATCAGACCGGATGAGTTTATATTTGAATCATTTGTAAAGATGTTGTCTATTAGTGTTGCAGTTGTTGAAGTAATTCGCGTTGGCTTATAAATTGTTGGTTTTGACCGTTATTGTTCAGTAGGGTCATAAATGCTTTTGTAAGGAAATGAGTATCAGTTTTAAGTAGATCTACTGTAGTGTATTGAAGTCACCAATTAGGTATGTCACCTTTTTTCTTTCATTATGTTTTCTAAAAATGTTTCTTAATTGTAGTTTCACTGTAGATTAATGCCTATATCGCTTTGTTGGTTTGATAATCTCAAAAACAATTGCCATCTTTACAAATATGTAAGACGGAAGTATGAAGCACACATTGAACTATTAGTAATATCGAAGTACGAGGGTTGTCCCAGAAGTAATGCACTATATGCTCTAACTTTATCAATAATTGATATTTTTTCATGAAAATTTCAGTAAATGTTCCTTGGAGACATTTTGATTATTCTAAAAAATTTCATGTTGACTGATAAAAGTATATTGATGTTATGATAAAATCAAGTTGGTGAGTTTGGGTAGGGTGGGGCAGGTTATACAGTCACGTCAAAAGTAATAAAAAATTGAAAATATGAAATAATTAATCAACAAATACCATTTTGTGTAGCTATTAGAAGTATGCTCAAAAATACATTTTAAGATACTAAATTACTATGAGCACATCCTAGATTTAATGGAGGTACATTGCACAGTGTCCCATTTCACATTTTCTCAAAATATTGCCCTTTGCATGTAATGTACTTTTGATGCCTGTCAAGTCAAAAACTCTAGGCAACTTCTTCCACTGTGACTTGTTGAGTTTTTGCCTCCCATGTTTGGAGTTGTCATTCAGGGTCATATCATCTCTTTTAAATCTCTTCTGCCACTTCACAATAAGTAGTTCTATCTGGTATATACTCCTTATATACTTTCTTCATGGTAGCATAAGTTTTGCATGGCTGTCAGTCCAACTGAAGTATGAATTTAGGCCACCAAACGCAAGGCCTTCTGTTATCAGGTGAAAATTGCAGCCATTTTTGGAATTTCTTGACTGTGACTGTATTTGAATTTGTGACTATTGAACTGTGGCATTATGACATCACAGTGCTAAATGTCATTATTTGTACTTGGTTAACATCATGCTGAATAAATTAAACAATTTCCCAAACATTTTAATCATTTAAAGGAAAGAAATATTAATAAAATAACACTTCCGATCTTTCCATAATCAGAAAAAATGGTACCTGCCCCACCCACCCCTACCCCCATGTTGTTATAGCAACCATATTAAGACTTAATATTAATGCTTGATGCTGAAACTTCAGGATATTATAGATAAGACTTCAATTGTTATATACACAAAATTTCAGCTGAATTGAAGAATATTAAAGAAAGTTAAAGTATATAGTGCATTACTTCTGGGACAACCCTCGTACAAATGGATTAAAGTCGTACTTTTCTTATTGTTTTTAATAGTAAACTTTTTGTGAGGAAATAACAACATTTCACATAATCACATAAATAACCTATGATAATAATAATTGAATAAATAATAACTTATTGAACAAAAATATATTTTTCTCAAAGTTGACACTAACTTTAAATGAAATTAGTGTGCAGCTAATGCGTGCAGTTGAGATTCTTGACTCGAAATTGGCGAATGGAACACAAGAGAAAACTGCAATGCATAGAGTGTACTCTGAAACAGACAAACTACATGATGCGAACGTTTTATTCATCGATGAAGCAGAATCTCAAACTGTTATAGAAGTGCTTCCTCCGAGAAGTCGACCGCTTGGAATACCGGGGAGAACGCGTACGCGTGTTGGTGTTGTACCAATCTGTAAGTAAAAAGAATATTAATGCGTTTATATTATTCTGCTTGAACTGGTTTTATGAAAAGCAAGAAATAAAGAAATTCAACCATGGAGCATGCCAATGATTTAAAAAATGGGAAATTAAATAAATCAATATTTTCAATGAATCACATAGACCTGACACGATAAGGTCACCTTATACAGGATGTCAAATAAGTCCTGTACCCCCATCTACAGCCAAAACCACGATATATTGTACCAAGTGTGATACATCATTGGAAAGACAATCCAAAGTCACGTACGCGTTGATTTGGCATATACCTGATACCTGTCAATCAATGTGACAGATTGCTACATTGTATCAATTGAGGTGACCATCGCATAGACCTAAAAACATGACAATTTGGCAAGATTTGAAGAATCAGGCATCAGAAAAGTCCAAGGAGCTCAAAATGTATATGTACATGTATATGGTAGTTAATTTAACCAATTTCTGGATAGAGTTAGATGTGTAGAAAATAGAGGGGCAGGGATAGTAGTGAAGATTTTTTGGAACAAGTGGATTGCGAAAAAGATTAACTTTCTAACGTATTTCTGAGGTCATATCCTTCTTAGTTGACGCAATAAAAGCTGCTGGAGGAGGGCACACTAACTATCATGAACATCATGAAAATGTAGGTAAATTTCACCCAAAATACTCGAGAGTCGGTGAGTTAAAGATTCTCGCAATGTTTATCCAATCAGCGTTTGCGAGTGTGTCGGCTCACGTATAAAAGGCGAATCCAACTCAAATCCATGCAGGGGTGTATGAGGTACTCGAATAGGAAAGAGCTCGTGAAATCTGAATTTATATGCACATGGTCAATGTTTACACATGTTTGGAGTTATTGAAGAAAATGTGATATGGGTGTGGTTCCGAATTTGAAGTCATTGCTGGAAAATATGATTTTAATACGTGAAATTATATCTATAAATACAGCACTAAAAATAACAGTACACATGAGGTACATGTATGATTGTGTTCAGAAATGTTTGAAACCCTTACGGAAAATTCTGTCTGCATTTTGTCACCATTGCTCTTTCTTCCCGCATTCTAGTGCTGTTTGAATGAATATATTAATTAATGTATTTCTAACTAAAATATATCACTTTTTTATAAACCACAAACATTTAGATCATAAAAAAATTATTCAATACTTGAGTGAGCACGATATGCAAGGGTTACTAAGTTGACACAGTAAATGACCACTGATATTGTGTTAAGGCCCGGTCACACCGCCTAAACGTTGCTGGAGCGTTCCTTGAACGTTGAAAAAAATCATCAACGCTCGTAAACGTTCACCACCGTTTAACACAAGTTGGCATCCGTTAAAGCAACGCTGCAAACGCTCGGCCAACGCGGATGTTTCTCGAGTGGCCATCCTAACGCTCCAAAAGTTTTGAACTGCTCAAAATATTGCGAGCGTTAAAAAAGGGACAATTTTACGCCCTGGCAAAGTTTATCACCGCTCCACCAACGCCCAGTCAAAGTTTGGCACCGCTAGACGCAAGTTCGTGGACGCTTGAATCCCCTAGACGAACGCAGAAATCTTAAACGCTGGACCACCGCTGCTTCGCCAGCGTTGCCCGGGCGGCGATTAAACGTTGCACAAACGTCAATGGAGCGGTTGTTAGCGTTTTATCAGCGTACATGGGGTTGTTGGAACGGTGTCGGACGTTGTCGCAGCGTTCCATGGCGGCGATGAACTTTGCTTTGGCGTTGGTATAGAGGTGTCGGAGCGGGACCAGAATTTGGCTATAAATACGTGGAGAAATGCACCACTGTGTAGAACACTGTGGAGACACTTGTGCATTTTACATTTGATATATATTCATGTCTGGCATTTCAATTTTTTGCATTGTAAATTCCTAAATTAAGCGCTCAAAGTTTGTGATTTTGGATTTTAAAAAGGTGAATTATGCGAATTTTGTTTTTCATTAAATGTTAATACAAATAGACTTTTACTGAGACCTTTATTCAAATATAGTATATACCTAGTGTTTTCACGTCAAGCAATTCAATAAATTATCTGTGAATTTTCTGCGCAGCTTGTAAAATGTTGCACTCGTCATGGTATTATACAAAAAGTTGATGCGCGCACAGCATTGCAAAAATTGTTAAAGCAATTTGAACGTAAATCGGTTCCAAGTAATGGAAATGCAACGATTAAATTGTGATATGTTTGTTTGGAATGATATGAGAGATTATTAAAGAAAATTGTAATGTTATTCATTCTTAATGTCATATTATATTAATAGAAGCACTTTAGATTTAAAACATTTCTTCTTTAATCCTTGAAGGACTTTTGTTAAAGTTACAAATTCCAATAAAGGTCTTTACTCTTAAACACTTCCCACTTGAAATAATTTCCCAGTAGTCAAACGCGATATGCTGCTAAACCAACGCTGCTGCTATTTATACCCCCACCGAGGCAACGCTCTCATGCGCAGAACGCCGCTATACCAACGCTCGCATTACCGCTAAACAAACGCTAGCTACCGCTCGCAACCGCTCGCAACCGCTTAACCAACGCTAAAGCAACGCCGGCTTCAGCGGTGCACCGCTAAGCCAACGCCCGTGTTTTTGTTTTTTTCCCCATTTTGTGCGCGTTGACGAGCGTTGATGAATTTTTTCAACGTTCAAGGAACGCTCCAGCAACGTCCGGGCGGTGTGACCGGGCCTTTAGTCCATGCACATAGCGTATTCTGCTAAGGCCATAAGAAGCAGATTCTTTGCTTTGCGCCCCCTTGCTTGCACGATTTTGAGTAAATCAGAAAAAACAAACACATCAAAATAGCAATCACAAGGGTCTGAAAGTACCATTACATTTCGTTCAATCAGAATCAGACGAAATGGCGGATAATTTGATGTGCGTCAAAATTGACAGTGTTATAATTATTTTGGCATATATTGTGTATTTTCTTATTTTTTACCCTTGAAGTTTAAATATATTGTATAAAATGTATAGATATGTGTTTGTAATCACTGCAAATTGGTATGTCATCCCTTTTTATGCCCATAAAATGTATACATTTCTCAGCAAACAAGTTTCTGTTTTTTTCTTGAGTTTGTGTTTGTTTCTCTTGTACCCTTGCATGATTTGGATTTTGCCAGGACGCAAAACAAAGAATCTACTTCTTATGGCCTAATACACATTTGCTAACACCCCCACTTTCAAAGTGAAGTGACTAATTGGTTTATGTTTACGTTTTAATGTGTTTTGGGTTCCTTGTTACAGCAAGGGGGGGCCAGTAAAGTAGACTAACATGTTTGCATGGCAAGTTTTGATCGAATATGTGTGACACTTTAACGTAACTTTAGATGATCTTTCCAATGATATATCAAACTAGGTACCATATAATCAGGTTAAAGCTGTGGCAGGGGGGACGTGACTTATTTGATACCCTGTATAAAGTGATACAAAATTATTTTAGCTCTCGGTGGGGGTCGTTATTCTGAAACAATTGTCATGCCTGACACTGCCCGAGAAGACATTACAACTGAAGCTAAAATGGTAGAAGGGTCGTTTACATTTAGTAGGTCAACGTGGTATTACCCACCATCACCTTCAAAGTGTGCCGGAGAACTTTATGATCCCTTTCAATACTTCTGCTGCGATGGACGCCTACATCGGAAGAATTTTTACTATCGCTACTACAGGTACAAGAAACAAACCTACGCAGACGCCTGTTGCGGTGGCAACCCCTACAACTCGAACCTTCAAATCTGTTGTAGAGATAAACTGTATGATATTTTAAAAATTGGAAGAGCTAACTATATAGGTTGCTGCAATGGTGAGGCATATGATACGCAAAAACAACTTTGCTGTAATGGTAATTTGTTCAATAATGTGCTTGGTTGTAACCAGCATTGTTGCGGTTATGGTACGTACAATATAAAGTACGAGTTATGTTGCAATGGAGTGGTGGTACAGAGACAGGGTGATAAACCAATAGAGTGTTGTGGTCATGAAGGATACCATCCAACAACTCAAAGATGTTGTGGGAGAAAAATTGCAATTTCAAGACGTAATGGTGAGACATGTTGTGGTGAAGGGGTCTACAATTTCCGGAAAGAAATATGTTGTGGTGGCAAAGCTTTTGCAAGACGTGATGACGAAAGATGTTGTGGAGCAATTGTCTACAATGAGCAGTTAGAAATATGTTGTGGTGGCAAAGCTTTTTCGAAAACGGCAAACACACACTGCTGTTTGAACTACTCTAACGGTAGATCTCAACCATATAATTACACCAAACAGATATGCTGCGGTGGAATGGTCTATGTCAAAATATATGGTTCCAACACACGCTGTTGCAGTTGCTATTTTAATGGTTATAATACCGCAAGACTGTACAATTACCATACTCAGAGATGTTGTGGGTGTCGGGTCTACAATTCCCTTGGAATAAGTGGCAACCGCTATATCACATGCTGCTGTCATTATCACAATTACTATTTCAACCGTTACCGTAACTATTATCCTTACTTTTACTATTTCTCGGCCCCATATTACTATCACCACAACTATCCCTCATGTAAGCTTTACGACTATAGGACGCAATCTTGTTGTAACGGGGAAATTCTTAGTAAATTAGAATCGGGATATGATTGTTGCAATAAGCAGAGCTATCAGTACACATCACAGCTATGCTGCAATGGCCAGATTAGACCAAGACCTACCATCAACACCGTTTGCTGTGGAACATCAAGTTATGACTACCGAATTGAAACATGTTGCGAAAACCAGGTAAAATATAGTTTCGTTGTGGGCCTACTCATAACTTCATTTTCAGTCTAATCCGTTTGTTGTTTTAAACAATTTAATCATTTAGAAAATCATTCCACACCTCTAACATACATATCATGACATGTTTTCTCCCTAACACGGATTCAAGCGACAGTGAAGCTTTGGTGTCTTACTGTTTGTAGGTTCTCAGAAAAGAAGGCGCAAAGGTTGCTTGCTGTGGATTCGAACTGTATGATCCTCGGAAGCAAAGTTGTTGCAACGGTCGGGTGACTTATGGAGGATCCGGTTACATGTGCTGCGGTAACAGAGCGTGGCAATCAATATTATTTAGATGCTGCAATAATCGACCGTATTACAGACCAGGTTTTTCATGTTGTTACGGCTTAGTGGTTCCAGGTGGTGACACGAAGAGGTGAGCATCATTGGGCGAGGCAAAATTTAAAAAAGAGATTTTGATACTTTAAATGTTCATATCAATGAAAACATTAATGAGGGGCTGAGTGGAGCTAGTTATCGCGAAAAGTTTTCCAGCATATCACTCATTATCACTAATCTACACGTGTTTAGGAAATCGAAATACAAAACTGAATTCGATAATTCTTGGTTTCACAAATTTTTAAGCATCTTGGACACTTGGCTTTGACATTTTTGACCAGACGATGCTTGCATGACACTCTGCGACATGATTAATTGTTCTGCGCTGTTTCCATAAAAGGTCCCTAAACACAAAACATGTATTTCAAGAATCACAATATCACTTCAAACCAATGCCTGAAGGCGATTTGCCCCAACCCTGTCTATTCATTGCATATTTGTTTGTATTTATGAAATAAACCTATTGATTAAAAAAAGTTCAAACCATTCATTTACTATCGATCCTCATCCTGTAAAGTATTTTCCAGTTGCTGTAGGGATAAAACATATGATCGCAAAAATGGAGTGTGCTGTTGTAATTCAGTCCGTCAGAGGCGTAATTTGAATGGGACCACTGAATACTGCTGCGGAAATGAAGTTTACGACATTCGAACCGAGGCCTGCTGTCAATCAAGCGTCGTGAAACGCCCTTCTTCTGTTTTCCGATGCTGTTATAAAACTTTGTATGATTCGACTATAAAGAGATGCTGTAACTCTGCTGTTACACCGAAAACAACAGCCTGTATTTATTAGTGATTAACTTTTTATATCACGCAATTCACTAAATGTTTTGTTTATCGAGTCATATTATTGTGTCAAAAATGGCTCAATAAATACACAACATCAAACAAACTTTTGTGTTTAAATATTCGACCAACAGTACAGATTTTGCCCCTCGGTTGCTCATTATCTTGGTTCAAACTTTCAAACAATTACAATTTTGGTTTAATTTTCTAATCAATATTGTTAAATCCAGTATAGTTTACAATTTTTCAGAAAATTAGATTTTTACAAAAATGTATTATTTTTGTGGTTACCATTTTTATTATATGGGAGAAATTTAAATATTTTCCCCACATTCCTGCACTTTGAAATTTTAATAACTTCACTAATTGATAACGTATCGATCTTTTAGGAGATCTTATATTTGACATTGTAAGGAAAAGATTGGCAGGTCAATTGTACATTGTTGCTTGCAATTTTGCCATGCCCTATAGATCTGAATCTGCATTTAAAGCAAGAAAACATCTTGATTCCCCTTGTTAGAGAAAGGGACAGTGGGAGATTAAGAGACCGTATTATCTCTAAAACTGAACTACAAAATTTCCTTTTTTTGCACGATAGTAAGCGTAGTAGTAAATATAATTTTTATTTAATGAAAATCGTAGGTCACCGACCTCGTCTTTTTATTATTGCTCTAAAATACAATTTACAATATTTGGGTCACAACCAGAAGTTGGGACATGGGCTGTATTGTTGAATGACCGCGATGCTAGTGAACTGCGTAATATTTTAATGAGTTTTCTCCCCAGGTATCACTTAAAAGATCAATAAGCCTACGGAGCAAATTACATGGTCATGTGTTTTCAACAAAAATAGCTCATCCAAGCGCACTTACACTCACATAAATCTTTTGAAATGCATCACGGTTTTTGCAATCAACTCCTTTGGTGCACGATTAACAAGCCGACGCGGTTGACACACGTGTTTGGCTGACAAGTTTGACATATCATATTTAGCGGTTATAGTGCGCTTGAATGACCTGTTTTTGTTGAAAACGTGAGGCCATGTAATTTGCACCGCGAGGGCTTATTGTTCATTTTCGTGATACCTAGGGGGAAAGCTTATTAAATATGATGCAATTGACTTGCACCGCGGGCATTTCAAAAACGCAGCTAAAGTCTCCAACTATATGGTGGACAGTGTTTTGTGGTCGGAGTTCGCCGGTTGGCGCCTTTCACAAGGTGGTGACATTTTGCATGTACCAAAATGCCTTGTATTGTATCCTTTTGTCGAATAGTTTGCCAATTGTTTACCAAAAATAAAACAAATCATATGGTACATATTTAGAAATTCACTACTGGGTATAAATCATTAACCAAATCATCATCATCATTCACCAATCTTTGTCCATATGCTATAGCATGGCGTCATTTATTTCAGAATAAAACTACCTTACATGAATTATTGAGAAAAATCGTCAATACTTCAAATAAGCCCAGGTTAGTTTTACTGTCAATTAATATTCTATCTGTTGTAATTTGATACCATTGTTTACTCTGCAGTGAGAACAATGTATATTATAATATATTTTGGATACCCATTATAAAATGAATAATTAACAACGATTTTCAATACTCCAAAATCAAAGGTTACTTATTAGTTATTCCTTTGAGTTATTGTTGTAATTCCATTGTATTGTCCACTTTGCTGGGACGCGCAATATGAATAATTTATATTTCTGGATATTTGTACTACAATGTGCGTGTTTCATATTTATTTCAAGATGATTCTGGGTGGGCTGTTGTTTTACTTTTATTCTTCCTTTCAAACTGATAAACAATACATCAAATATCACAATGATAAAATATTGATATGTTCAATTTTTGAACATTACCCCTATCATTATTTTTCATAAGTATATATCACGGTATACTTAAGTACATACGCTGATATGATTACGCCGGTACGATTCCAAGAAAACAATTGTCTACCTATTGATCGAAAAAATGATTTTCGACCAAAAACGAACCCCCCGATATGACAAGTTCATTAAGTATGGCATGTATTTGTAATGATATATGTGTAATGTGTGAACAATCCCCGGGATTGTCATGATTGTTATTTGATAAACATTTCGTCCAGTACCTACATCCGGGTTAGGAGAGTGAGAATAAACGCCATTACAAATGAACCCAAAGTTTTATGTCTGATTGTTATAGAACCAAATGATCAGTTCGCAGTATTAACATAACATATACTTTTGTTTTCTAGATAATGTGTATTGTCCAATCATTAAGATGAAGCATTTATGCATTTATAAAAATTTGATTAAATCATATTCAATTTTTAGAACACATTCAAATATGCATGTTTTAAAAATGGCAAAAATTTCATGTAATCATTAAAATGCCAATGAGAGAACAGTTTTTGAGAATGAAAATTCATGGGAAATCGGAAAAATCCCGTATCCTGTTTCGATATTTACGTTTCATTCTAAGAAAGCAAAAATAACTAGTTAGAGAGAATAATAATGAATTTCTTTCAAAAAGTGTTTCAAATTCGACCATGACTGTAAAGTCCCTGGAGTGATTTTAATTTAACTCTAGAAAATTACCACACACTTCAATAAAAATAATTTGTGCTAATTCCGAGTGCCAAAACACAATGGTTGGAAGTTATTTGCTTGTATTGCAGTTGCATTCTTTTAACATCCCTGATTGTGTATTTTTCAAGATATAGCGATTTCTTTGGCCGTATTTTTAACACACTGTCCTTGGTGTAACTGTTGATGCACGTTGATGTACCAATCTGTTTAAAAGACATTTGAGCACATTTGTAATATAAAAATGATCAGTGTGGTATGTATATGTAAGGTATAAGCGAAATGCCAAACTTACCATTCTTCTTAAATTGAAATCACATAAAATTGAAATAATATCCACACGTCTATTAACATTTTTAAGTCGTATATGATTATATTTCTCACAAAAGGAGTTCAAATCTTAAACGTTTGTGGTAGATACCTCACTGGATTATGTGCCTTAAATAGCTGGACTGCGTTACACTTGGCCACCGTGGTGTACCCATCAAAACTCCAAGGCGACTATAGTATCATCATGTCGTTTCAACTCTACAGAATTTTTCTTTCTGGGGAAATCACTGGAATATTTTACCATTTGATCGTCTTTTGATTTCGAATTTCGCTTAACTGGCGATACACGTTCCCCGCAGGTACACCCATTGGAACAGCAGATAGAAGATGGGCATTTAAGCATTTGCAAAAACGCGCTACGAATGTCCTCTCTATAACGCAGATAAACTATGATATTGAACCAGCTATTTGAGTATGTTATGATATACATAACGTCTGAGACAACTGTTGACCCCACGAAGTATCCACTCCCCCAATGGATACAGAGCTTAAGGACGTAGCCAGGCAAGTTACAGGCTATAAACAGAATAACGAGGGCGATAAGCATGTGTATGGCGTTATTTATAGTCTTATCCTCATTATCACTGTTCTTCTTGGCATTCAATTTTTGGAGAACTTTTGCATAAGATCCAATAATCAAAATAAATGGAATTAAAAACATAGTGAAAAAATCAGCGATCATAAACACACGACTCAACAGCTTGTATTCGTGTCCAACATTGCACGTGATGAAAATAATCGACTTATCGTTCGGTTGCTCGATTATTTCTTCGACCAAGTCAAACACGAATAGAGCTCGTATTGAGTACAGAAGTCCTAATATCCAAAGTCCGATGATTATCATGCGGCATTGCTTTAAAGTCAATGGCGGGAGATCAGTTAAAACAACTTCTCGGTATTTCACCAAGGCAATTGCTACTATGGAGAATACGCTTGATGATGATGAGATTTGCGCACAGAAATGGCATAATTTGCACAAGGGTGATCCCAGATATTCCTCTGAGAATTGACCCGCAATTCTCGCCGGAACAACAAAAATCCCGATCATTAGACGGGAAATCACGAGTGAAAGTAACAGCAAATTTGTTGTTTTTTGTCTCAGTTTTCTGTTGCTGCATATTGTTATGACAACGCATAGATTCCCCAATACGATCAGCAATATAACTAATGAGTAAAGTGTGATAAAAAGCGCCTGGCTGTTAAATCCACCATTTGAGCTAAAACCTTCTGCCTCGGGCTCTGGTTCGGGAAAATTCGTGACTTCCGGAGATGGTTCAACTTCCGGTGATGACTCCACTTCCGGGTATGGTTCCGTCTCGCTGATTGGTTCGTATTCAGGCGTAGAAACGCTCATTGTACATCGAGGCTCCGATAACCCTCTCCTTGTGTTAACTAAAGTACGCCTATCCGGTTATATGATTCCATATCTGAAAATACATCAACATATTGCCGTATAACAGCACCTTTTTAGCATTTATTCAGTTATTGTAGAAGGTTACTAACGTATTAATTGTTTATGGTGGGGCTCAGGTATATAGCCTTTTTTCTTTTGCATTCATGAATGAATTAAATTTTATATTCTTGTAAAGAAATCACGTGATTATTAAATCACTCAATCTGTGAACCATACATTTTATTTTGATGATGTAATAAAATCTGTTTGAGAACAAATTGTGTATAAATACCGGGAAGTACATATTTATAACCCACTTAATATAGTTCCTTTAAATTTCCAATTCATCGTGCGTCATCGTTTGTTGCTGTTTCATTTTATTGAACGATGTGCATATTTGTTCTTGTTAAAGAAAATATGATCTTAAGTGATTGTCCTTGGGTCTATACGAAAAAGTACCCGCTACGAAATAAAGCTTCCTAAGTTCATAGTGTCCTGTGTTATTATTATCCTGGGTTATTATTTTGATATCGCACGATTGTTTTTGCATAAATTATTTAATCATAACACTGTTGCTGCACTTTTCAAATTAGCCACCGAAACGGATCTGTTTTAGTTACAAAATGTCGGAACATCGAAGGTACGATTTTTTCAGAATGTTAACCGTTTTTGAAGTTCCATTTACTTATCAAATGTGAACAGTTAGATTAAAGATTCTGCCGGGCAAGAATGATTTCCTAACTTGGATTTCCAGAACACGTGTGCAGAAAAGATTTTGGATAATTTATGCTAATCTCGAGAAATCATTAAAAAATGAAAAATCTTACCGAGCTTTACAACCGGTACCGTGGTAATCTTTCTATTATGATACGAATCCGTTTCGGTAACATCGTAATTAAGTACTACACATTATAAATTACCAGTGTGTAATGCATTGCATTAATGATTATATAGAAACTATTTTTCGAAAACTAAAAATATAACCTTTTTCTGAATGCCCCAGCCATCGATTTTCGTCCGTTATCCCATTAGTAGCCGCTCTAGTACCTTAGATCCATGCAAATCCAGTAATGCATCTATAGAAACGAGTGTGGTTATTAAGAAAACCATTATTAAGTAGTCTTATATAATCGTCTGTGTATTCCTATTGTATACAGAAGTTTTATATTATAGTTTGTTTATATACAGTAACAAATTCTGTACATACCAAATTAACCCAGCATATTTCGAAACTCTGAATTCCTTGGCATAGTATTTTATGATAGCGTCATTTATATTCTCCGTTGCATTCCGTAGTTGTGTTATAAGCAAATTATCCGCAACTTGAAAGTCATAGTTGTAGTAACTTGTAACTATCATTAATTCAAATAGACATTGGAAAAATCCAGCAATCACCTGCCAAGTTTGATGATAAGCTCATAAAACCATCTTTCGATTGAGAATATTATATCTATTACGTCAATGACTTAATGTCTAATATGTCATCAACGCCAGTAATTCATTTACTTTATCACTTGATATTTTCGTTTCCGTGGAAACGCGTGCACTGTCGTATTATCCCCGATATATACAAATGTATCTGAAGGGTTTAAGAGGTTTTATATTTGATTTGAAGTTAGTAATTTGGAAAGCTAGATAATCATTTAGACCCTTTTAATTAAGGGATTGCCGAAGTCACTAAGTTTGTGATTAAGTGCGTTTCATCCTCTTCAACTTTTCGCTACGTCATCCTGGATTCCTGTTGAGCTAAGGATAAAACCATAATCACTGTCGTCCTCGTCGGAAAGTAGTAGTAGGGCGGGAGGCCATACGTTTTTAGAGCACTTGAATATTAATTGAACGGATAATGTAATGACTGCAAGGTATTACCCCTTCACCTCTAATTTTTTTTTCCAGGGCCAATATTTACATTTGATTTCCTTATACTTTTATTTAAATCTTCCAATTTTAGTTATACTCCATATCTAACTATAGACAATGGATTGATTTTCGATTGTGAGCGTTTGCTAGAAGGTATTTTTTCAAGCGTTCAATGTAAAAATTAATTCATTTTGGCCAACGCAAAGTTCACAACGCACTCAACAAGTTATATATACTTTAAAACAAAGCAAAACAATTCATACACGTCCTTGAGACATAGCCTACATCAAAAATCGAAATTGTTTTATGCTAGATACCAGACGCTTCTATTTCCATCAGTTTGCAAGCCCCTGGGTTAAAGATTGAAAATGAAAATCAATTCCTTTGCTCAGTCCCGCTTCGTGTTGTTCATTATTAATTCCGCTCTGCGTTATTATTCCAAAACTGAAAAGCGAAAATTACGTACTGGTGCAATAGTTTATCTAATCACAACACTTGTCATAGCAACCATTACAATTGAACACTCCCCTCCATTAGTTTGTCAACCGGAAGTTCAGATTTTTGAATTTGATGAGTCTTTTTTAAGTGATTCAGAATGACACTTCTTGTTGACAAATTTATAAGGGGATTGTACTATAAAGACGCATTGGCCTGCCTTTGTTGCGTTTCGTGTTTCGCAATTACAAACTTGTGTTTTATAACCCAATGCTACAGTTGTCAGGTTTTGTATTTATAGCTTTTAATCGATGAAAAGATACATTTCATTACCGACAACGTGCTAATGTGATTAACGTCTAAAACGTCACATATCTACAGTAAGTTTTAATCATCTTGGTTGGTAACTTAGTAACAACATGCTTATGACAGAAAGAATTCCTAAAATGTAAGGAAATTGAAGAACGCCTGTTTTAGTTCTTATTTAGACGAGAGACGAGTTGAGAAAAACTTTTGAATAATAGTCACTCTTTTAAATAACTGGGCTCATATCATTCTGTAACATACCTATTTTCAAAAGCTTTGAAGTTCGACTCTTTGTGTTTTCACATTTCTTTGCATTCTTGCCAGAATTGGGCCACTACATGATCTTCACCTTGACTCCCTGACTCTTTTAAATAACTGGGCTCATATCATTCTGTAACATACCTATTTTCAAAAGCTTTGAAGTTCGACTCTTTGTGTTTTCACATTTCTTTGCATTTTTGCCAGAATTGGGCCACTACATGATCTTCACCTTGACTCCCTGACGCACTGGCTCCGTAATATAAATGAAATATATCTTGTGATATTTTTTTATTTTCCTAAAGGCTCGCTGGTCGCCCATATATGTTTGATCTTCCCAATATCTTTTGGGTTTCATATATAATGTGAATGTCACTGTCCCAAAATGACCCACCAATATTGTATTTACACGATTGGTCAGCGCAGGTGTTTCTGATTGATACGTATCCATGGCAATCAAATCCTTTTTGTATCCTTTGTTATTCACCTAAATTGAAAATTAATCATTTATAAATATTGTCTCAACATACCGATTCGCAATTGACAATCCAATAATAGATCCGATTATCGTGTTTTTAAAGTGAACTAGGAAAAACTATGATGAAAACAAAGCACCGAACACCTTTGATAATTGACCGGATTTCCTCGTCGAACATCTTGTTTACTCGAAAATATAGTTTTTTACTGAGCACCGGATCGGATCTTCCCAATTTGTCGTATTGTCTATTTAGATAATACTAAAAAAACACTAACATAAGATACGTGCACAAAATACTAATGGTATCCAAATGTGAAATAAGACAACAAAGGTAATGTTAAATGAATCCTAAATTGACCATTTACTTAATTTACCAAGTAATGCTTATGATCTATTTGTGTAGCGGGAGAGTGTGTACGTAGCTGTTGTATGAGCGTGAAACGAACTTTTCCACATCCTACTCACACTTTCTCGTATTTTGCTCACATTTTCTCAAATTCTACCCGCTCTCTTTCACATCCTACGCACTTTCTCACATTCTGTTCGCACTTTCTCATACTCTACTCGAGTTTACTACACATTCTACACGCACTTTTTCATATTCTTCTCGCACTTTGCAATTTGCTCACTGTCCATATTTCTGATTCCGGACACAATGATAAATGTCTCTGATAAATACAAAAAACAAAGCTCAAAAAGGAACAATCAATGGATGATAGAATATAATGAGTAATCGTTTAGTTTATCAGTATAATAATACAATTTTTACGTATGGCGTTCAATAAGTATTGGATTTTTGTTGTTCAAAGATTTTTTTTTTTATTTACAATTTTATTTTAGTAATATTTCTGTTTGTTATTGAGGGAAGAGGTATAACGTAAATAGGTCAAGGTCATTTACAAATTGTTAATGGGTTGTTGATTTGGGCTCAGAACTGCATCAGTAGATGTGCGTCTAAGATTTATATGAACAGGAGACAGCAGACAGGCACTACTTTATTCGTACATTATATTAGTACACAACCCAATAACACACGGAACAAACATGAGCCAGAAATAATAAAAAAAACTTACACAACAGCCGAAATCGAACTACCCGTACTTATCAAAGATATCTATTTTTACTTCTATTCGAATTATTACATCTAGGATGAACTATAGATTACAATTAATTATGAAAACCTTCTTGCATGACTATATTTCGCCCCCTGCGGAAAGGAAGCCGAACCAGTTATATTGAAAAGAAACGATAATTTTTTTAAGAATAAAATCATTCTCCCGAGGAGGTATCTTAAATTAAATACAGATTTCTATCAGGCGCCCGTTTGGATTTTTTGAGGTATGAGTCAGAGACGATACAATAATTATGATATTTTTCAGGTATTTCGAATTGGGTACAGTTAAGAGATACTTTGAACTAATCTCAGAATAAAAGTAATTGGTGGACTACCAGTCGTACTCAGTCCCCGTGGTCTGTTCATAAAACTAGGAAAACGTGATAATAATTCTACGTAAACAAGCATAGTCTTGAAAAATTTAATTTAAAATTATTTTGATTTGAAATAAAAAAAAAGATTTAAAAGGGCGGTCAATTTGGAAATGAGTTCATTGGTGTATTATCTATTTACGTTTAATAAAGAAAAATATGGATATTGTATTGAAAATGTTGGTCTCTTTCCCATATTTATTGCTGTTTGT